CTCGAGTGTTCACTGCTGGAGCTGCGCTCCCACATGGAACACCATGGGAAATGATTCCTATTAGCTGGTACCTTGTCGTATCACGATCCAACCATACCACTGGACCTAAGCAGGAGTTTCACCTGTAAATTGCCTGCTTAAGGAGCAGATATATTTACCTCCTGAATCGAACTGGCAGGCATCTTTGGGTTCATCCGAATAGGTGCAGATTTCGCCTTGCGATATTACTTCGCTCTGCATTTGGTTGCATTGTTGGGTCGAAACTATTCTTACATCGACTTTCTGCAAGGTGGGAGACGTGGGTCCAGAAAATTCCAATTGTCCCCATCCTACCACAGAATAGTGCTTTTTCAAAGGTTTCATCAATTTTTCGGAAATTATCACCAAAATTTTCAAGATGAAGAAAAGAAAAAAGTACCTCCACCTGCTTGATCGTTTTACCTTGAGTAAAAGTAACTATTTCGCCCATTAATTCTACTATAAAACCAATAAAACGCCTACCTATAAGTAATACCGGTTCTCCACTCATAGTTCTGAATGAATATCGAAATGGAAGACACACAGGCCCCACTTTAGCGCTGAATATTATCTGAGTTTTGACCTGCACGATTGAAATGTCGTTTTTCTGAGTCGAAGACTGGTAGTCTGGATGCACCACGTATCCATTCATGTTATACACTCCGCTGGATTGAGTATCAGCTCCTATACAATAGGTGAACGTTGAGGAAAAATTGAGTAAAATTGCTCAACAAATGACCTCACCAGTATTCAAATTGTGGTCTCCAACTAGGATAAAAAAATCAGACGAGGTTTTTCCTACCACGCAATGAGCAGCGGACAGTATGAAGCGATCTGAGATAATGCTGCCGCCGCAGAAGAGATTTCCCTTGTAGATTATGGCAGCCATGAATGGAAACTCGTTGATTCCCGTCTCAACACCGCCAAGAATGCGTGTCTATGTATAGAATAATTTATTAAAAACTCTATATAATATTTAGTCTTTTTTTAAAGATTTTGTCAGCTTGTTAAGCTACAAACAATCTGTTTTCGTAGGATTTTTTTTGTAATTATATTAGTAAACAAAGAGTTTATAAAACCATTCAAAATTTCGTCTGCCGCTTTACATCAAACACCAGATTCAATGTTTAATCCAGGAAAATCCAGGAGCTGATAGTCTTAAAAATAAGTGAAAATCTTCGTATAAACATATGTCCGCAAATGAGCAGTTTGCGTGATACAGGGTGTTGACGTTAAAAATTTTATTGAGTTTTTCCTTTCTAGAAAATAATCTATTGGGCACTGTATTTATTATTTCCCTGTTCCATCCAATCCAAAATTGAGGTGAATATTTCAAAAACTGCAAAAATTAGAAGGAAAAATAATGTCGTTAAACGCGGCGTTTGAACTTTGTATGCTTCTTTTTGTAAGTTTCAGCACCTCTAGAAGTTTTTCTAATTAAAATTGAATCACTCTGTGTATATCCGCAGCCAATTTTTACCTATGCCGATACATATTTATTTTTCAATTATATTTTGTCATCATGCATCGCATCTTTTATCGACTGTAATATTTTTTGTCTGTTACAACCTGAATCACCCTATAGAAGTGACCTGCGGAACGTTCGGTATTAATTAAATGAACAAATATAATGAAAAATATTTAAAAACAATAATAAAAGTAGTGCATGCTCGCCTACATATTTATGGTTCTCCGAGCCGGATTAATAATCGATTCTGTAAGTTTATGAAAAAGCCGATTTTGTTTTGACTAAAACTAATTACTCGTCAATTAGTAACAGTTTTCTGTTACACTGTTTTAAGAATATTTTGTTTTTTATGTTTTTTTTAAGCCGCTTTGTTACGAAAATAGAATGCGAAAGAAACAATCGATTATAATTTATTATCAAAAAAAAAAGCTTCTAAGTTTACAAGAGTAGACTGTAGAGAGTAGAGTTGTATAAAAATAATTATTTTATTATGACGTTAAAGTTTAATTTGGTCTTGAACAGCATTTACGGCGGTAGTTCTGGTTTAAAAATAAAAACAATTTAAAATAGAGGCAATTAAAGAGTATTTTGATATAAACATATTGTCGCGTAACGTTGTTCCTGGTTCTTATCATATTTCCAAGTTTAGAATTGATTATTTTAAACACTAATTAGGTTAATTAGTTAATTAACAATTCCGATGCATTATATTTTATCACTTCGTAAATTGTTTTTTGATTGTTTCCAATTGATGACAAAAAAAACTATAAAATAATGATTGCTGTGTGAACATTTTTTATGAACAAAACCAGAGCTAACTGAACTTCATAGCTTTGCACTTTATTGGAGCTTAAAATAGCTCAAAAAAATGCATTAACGGTTCAAAAGTTAACATTGAGACCAATTAGTGATGGGTGTTCCAACGATAGAGCAAAGTAGGTTTACCTTTTACTGAGAAACATCTTTCGAAATGCGATTCGTCTATTTCAAAAGATATTCCGCATGTTAAAAACAGTAAAGCCGCATATAATAAGCGACGAAATAAGTTTTTGCAAAGAAACAATCTAAATTGATTTTTCTTTTTTAATTCTTATGCAAATGTTAATTACTTTTTGCTACACGTTCATAAAATATGAACAAAGATTTAATGGTTCGACTTGAAGGCTGAAGTTTTGCCCTTACCTAAGCTGATAAATGGGCAATTTCCAAGCTATTTACATTGCCAAAATTTTTATTTGACTTCTTATGCAAATTTTACTTACTTTTGATATACATATATATGTATAAAATGCGAGCAAAAATTTAATGGCTCGGCTTGAAGGCTGAAAACTTGCACTTAGATACACTGATAAATCGGCAATTTCCGCGCTATTTTCATTGCCAAAATTTCAAAATTGGCAGGAGAAAGGATTCAATCCTCCCCTACTTTATCGCTCAAACACCCTGTACAAGCGAGTTTGTGTTTTTCCAAGCACTAAAATCCAAGCTGTTTTTTGTCTTAAAACAACCAGGAAAAATGAAATACGTTTAAACCCATACCAATGGCCGCCATCCACAATCGCAATTCAAAAATCCATTTTCCTGTACACTACTCTTTGGAGTGCTCAATTTGATGGCTGTAGCTGTGCACAGAAACTTTCCACCTGGACTCCCTGTCCCGTACAGCCCTAAAACACACCTTTTGAAAAACTGCAATACTTCTCAGTTTCAACTCTACCTAAAGCCAATGTAGTCTGTTGACTGTATGCAGAGAAGGAGTTGTTGCCACAATAAATCCTCCCATCAGTAAAGCGAACATTTCCGCTAGTCGAAACATACAGTCCGCCCCCATAGCAATTTTGCGTCTGCAAGATGCTCAAATTGGGTAATTTACTCATTCAAACAGAGATTTCTTACGTTTGGTAGAAGTAGATCGCAAGACACAAGTACTTGCGAGCCAATGGCAGTTCGTAAATTCCAAACGCAATCAATTGGTTGGCTGTAGAAATTGGGATAGGAAGGACTAGCTATGTAATATTCCTGTCCAGCTACTAGTTCTATGTAGTCGTTGCAATCCTGCGCCTCCACCTTCAGAGCCAGCAAAAGAAGCCACCAAATCCCATTGAGGACAGCTAATTTGTCTTGCTTTTTAAATATAATTTAACAAACAAAAACTCGTACTTACTCATTATGCAAGCTCACAACGAACAATGTTCTAATTGAGGAAATTATAGTTTTTTAAAGCACTCGATAAGTAAATGGTTTCGTCTGAAACACGAAATGCGATAATAATACAGCCATTTGTTCCTATTAACTTGGCAATGTTTCCGCCAAGTCCATACAAGCACAATCTATACATTAATCGTTTTTCAATTGCCACTTTCTGTGGCTGATTAGGGAAAAAAACAAGGTTTTGTCGCAGGTTTTATTAAAATACCACCAGTAGCCAAATGTGTGTCTTTGGTCCCGGACGTTTCAGTGCTTATAAGACACAGAAGAATTGTCCTGAAAATTTATTAAATACTCAAATTAGTTTCCAGTAAGTATACAAGAGCTTTAACTTTTTTGAACAAAGTTTTTCTTAAAAAACGCCGTGGAGTTGTTGAATTGTTAGAAAATCAGTTGATTCGATAGTTTTTATCAAAAACGCAGTGTTGTGGTAGATGGATGCACAAACCAGCAAACATTTTTTAATTATGAAACTCTGTAAGGAAACACACGATCACAAACAACTAAAAACTTGAATGGCTTGCAAAGTAAAATAAAAGTCTTTTAAAGCGCGCTTGAAAAAGTCTGCAACGAGCAACAGTAGAGAAACAGCATCTTTGGATTTTGCGCATTTTTAAACAACATTTTACCAAGTTTTTTGAAAATTCTATATAAAAAACATTAGCACGCGTTCATTCTCAATATTATCAATATTCCTCAAATGTGAAGCTTATTTTCTTAATTAAGTTAATTTTAATTTTTGTCTCTTCATTGAACTTCCGAATAACAACATGATTATTCGGCCTTTTGACAAAATATCTTCAATTGAAACTGCCTTAACTGATTTCTTGTCGAAAAGTTATAAATGTATATTCGTAGTAAGCTGATTTTCATACACAGGGCGAGCCTTTTCAGTCAGCACTACCGAAGAATTAATGAGGAATTAATTGCTTTTAAACAACAGTCTCTAGGATTTGGAGCAATTGTTCTATCTGCCCATGCTAATTGCATTTATATCTACTCAAACTCATAAAATGCAGACTCAGCAACCTTTTTATTACCATTTCTGCAACTGTTCAAAGACTTTTTTTAGCAAAGCGATTTTTCGACGTTTCAGATTAATACAATCGATTGTAACAAATTAGGGACTTCTACAACTCTTGGCACAAACATAAACTTATTTTGCTCTCAGTACATTAACTACCTGTTCTGTCTTGAATCCACTTCAAAAATGAGGCAACACGAGTGTTAATTCCAGGACTGAGCGATCCACAGCCCGCACCATGCGAAACAATTCCCCATATAAACAGTCGGCCGTTGGACTGATTTTGCCAAAGCAATGGCCCACCTGAAACCATCCAGTTAAAGCTGAAAATCTTGGAAACTTCCCACCAATACCTGAATCCGATTGGCACGTGTCCTTTCCAGATGTGTAAGTGCAAAACTCGCTGTTTGGAATGGGCTCTAAAGCTGACTGTTCGCATTCTTCGTTCGCGATTATTTCCAGATCGACTTCCTGAAGAGTATCGGATGGTCTTCCAGAGAATTCCAGTTGGCCCCAACCTCAACATCAGCAAATAGTTATTGTTTAGTTTAATGGAATTTTGCTTTTCAGTACAAACTTTCGATTCGAGACAACAGTACTAACTTCTAATTCGTTTCTCTTATATTAATAGTTTTTATATTATATCTAAGTATTAATATTCTGCTTATCCTGTTGTAATTTTTTTTTGTGAAACTCCTTACTCGATTTCAGTTTGCAATTCATCTTGTAATAACACAGTTAAAGTTTTTTAGGGAAATTTAGAGTGAAATTTAACTTTCTTTGAAATTGCGACCGAAAATGAGAACTCGGATTTCCATTCTCAAGTCAACTTTTCATATACTCTTTAGTATTTAAAAGAAAGTCCTCTTAAGAAGTTGAACACCTAGAAGAAACTTCATGTTAGATATGAATAAAGATTTTTCTTCACAAATTAGGAGCTGAAAGTATAAGCTTGAAATATGAGTTTCGGTGTAAATGCTCGCTTGAAAGCTAAATAACTTTCCGCAGAAATGTCGAACATCCAAGTTTTGCTTTTCTATAGCTCTATAGTCCAAGTAAATGTGAGCTGTTTCTTGGGTGTTTCACGTGGAAAAGATTTGTTAGTTCAAATTTATTGTTTTAAATCCGAATTTTCCAGCTGAAGATCGAATTTCGAATTTTAAGTCCAAAAACTAAATTGAGTGAAAAACTTTTCTTTCAAGATTTACCTTGAAGTCAGCAAGTCAGAAGACGACACTTTACGTAGTTTTTCAAGTACATTTAACAACAATGTATGTTATAATGTAATGTAATTTCAACAACATTTAACTTTAAATAAACTTTCTCTCAAAACGGTAAAATTTGCGAAAAAGAAAAAAAAATTTGAGATTTTTCGTTGAAATTTTGAGTAAGCCATACAGTCATACTTTGGATTCAAATGCTTACTTACGAGACAATTTTGGACTGAAAGTCGAAGTATTGAGTCTTGAAAGCTAAAAGGAAAATTTGAGTCAAAATATCGAATTCAAAGTACCCATTATAAGTCGCAATTTCCAGTCATTGAAGAATAAATTTTGCTGCTCAAATTGCTCCGAAGATATGACAAATCATCAATATCCAGTAGAAGAAAAATAACATTTATAGCTTAAATAGTTCTTATGATATGAGCAAAAAAGTCGCGGGATGTATAAAAAATTGATCTAATATTGCAACTAAATGTATGATATTCAAATTTGGCGTTTGGCAAACCTACCGCTTTTAAGCACAAAGATTTTACTTATCGAACGGGATTTTTAATTCTCTATCCAGTTGTAGAAAATAAATTTTGTAGATCAAATAGTTTCTAAGATATGAGCAAAAGGGCTGCGGGATAAATGTATGATATTCAAATTTGGCGTTTTGGGGAACAACTACCGCTCTTCATCACAAAACTAACACTTATTGAAAGATAAATTTAATTGTCCATCCAGTCATAGACAACTAAATTTTGTTGCTCAATTACTTTCTAAGATATGAGCAAGAAGCTGGCGTGATGTATGAAAATTTGGCGTAATCTTGTACTGAATGTGTGTTAACTCCAGGCGTGTGATATTTAAATTTAAAATTTTGAAGGGAAACTGCGATTATTTGAGAGTCAACTTTTACTTTCTTGAAAAAATGGTATGGATTTTTTTAATAATCAAGTCGGCTTTTCGTAATGCTCCTCATAATGAAACCTCTAGCAGAACCTTCAAGTTGGATCTAAATAAAGGTTTTTATTTGCAGATTTGGTTCAAAACTAGGAGATCAAAATCGATGCTCTAAATATGTTTTCGATGTAAATGTTCGGTTGAAAGTTAAATAGATTTACGCACAAATGTCGGACGTGCAAGTTTAGCTTTTCTATAGTCAAATGTGAGCGGTTTCTTTCGTGGTTCACGTCGAAGATATTTGCAAGTTCTAACTTATTGTTATAAAACCGAGTTTTCTATCTAGCTAAACATCGAATTATGTTTTAAGTTTAAAATTCTGGTTTAGTAAAAAACTTCGGCTTTAAGATTTTTCTTGAAAGTTTAGAGTTACATTTGAAATCGATTTTTTGCTTGAATTCGAAACTTCCAGAAGTTGAACCTCGAAGTCGACATTACGTAGTTTTGGTTAATAGTAGTAGTTAATTTATCCTGTTTTGGGCTGGAAAAAGCGGAAAAAATTTGTTCAAATTCGAATTCGAGCTTTACTTGTTCTAAGTCAATATTTGAGGTAAGTCGTCTAGTCTGAATCAGTCGTTCTTTAGCTTAAAATGTTCCGCTAAAGTTCAAAAGTTCCTGGTTAATATCAAAGTTTTGTTTAAAAATTGAGTTCCAAGGCGAACCATCTACTTTAGCAGTGTAAAATTCGAAGCCAGTGTTCTGGGCAATTGCAGCATTTTGCGTTTGAGATTCAAGTGTTGGCATAGATCAACTTTTCCAGTTTATCAAACGTTTTCGATTTCATTTGAAGCTGAAACATATCGGATTTTGCTTGACTTTGCAGTCAATTTTGGGCTGGAAGTCGAAATATTGAGACCTGAATATCAAAAGAAAATTTTGAATCCAAAGATTAGAAAAAAATAGGAGTTTTCTTGAAAATGTGGTAAATGTAAAACTTACCTAAAGCTGTAACAAAGTTTCCTGCGTAGTTGTTGAAGGAATGCCGAAATGGTAAGCAAATAGGGCCGACATTCTCATTAAAGTTGATGTTGTTCACTTTCACTAGAGCAATGTCGCCTTCGTAGGTTATTGGGTTATATCCTTCCGCCATTTCATAGTCCACCACTTTATATAGAGCTGAGTAGGGGGTATCGTCTCCTACAGAATGGGGGCGGAATGGAATGGAATTTAACGATCTTACAAGCAAATAATTTGGAGTTCTAGCAAGTTCAATGGTTTCCCTTTCTAGTATTCTCTTCAGAAATTTCCCAATTGGACGAGTTGAAAGTTGCAAGAGCAGATCTCACCTGTGGAAACATCATGGTCCCCTACCTGCACATACAGAGTTCTCGCGTCTCTATTGTGCACACAATGAGCAGCGGTTAAAACGTAAGTGTTGGAAATGATGGTCCCTCCACAGTAGATCCTACGGGTAGCATCCACCAATCCGACCATTGCCGGGTACTCATTCACTCTAGTCTCATGCCCTCCAGTAATCTTTTTCTGCGAAATTTCGCCATTTTCAATTGCAGAAATCCAATTCGCTTTACACACTTACATCGTTCTTCCATCCGCAATTACACCCCCGGTCAGCCATGGGAATGTCGAAGGATTGATCACTCTCTATGTTGGACTCGATGGCCGTTATGGCGCAAAAGAAGCGCCCGCCTTGGGATCGCGATCTTGTCCGCAAAACTAAATAGGAGAATAATTTTTTTGGGCTGGGGTTCAGGAGTTGGAGAGACTTACCCACTGATAGGGTGCTTCCTTGAAGGATCAGAGAAACGGAGCCACTTCCGCAATATGTGTGCGATTCGCTCAAGTGCTTCGGTCCACTGGAGCTAATTTCCAAACGGTCGTGTTGGCAGTTAGAAGACTGAAAAATTAGAGAGTCTTAGGAGTATGGCATATTTTTATATGCAGGGCGATTCAATTTTAGCTGGGGAAAATCCCTTCGAGACACAGAACGTTGAAGTTAAGGAAAGTTTACTCACCTTCGGCATGTTGAGATCTTCACATGAAAGGAAAATTTGCGACCTAAGTGGGCTTTTCGCGATCCACTGGCAGGAATAACCAGCGGTGTAGTTTCGGGGGTACTCGTTATTGAAAATATAGTAGAGCTCGCCCATGGCGAGCTCTTGGTAGTAGTTGCATTTTGGGTCCAATGGGCTCACCACCGCTGACATCGGCATTAGAAAGTTCCAGAAGTTGGACAGTATCATACTCATAGTGCTGGAAAATAGCAAACAAATCTTTTTATAGAGGGTGTATAAATTAGGGGAAGGGCTTGGTTTCTGCGATACAGGGTGTCAAAGTTTTGGAATTTTTTTCAGTTTTTTCCTCATACCTTCTAGAGTTTTTGCGATAATTTATTGAAATTTTCACCCGATGTTAGTTTTGCTGGGCTGCAAGTTTCAACGTCGTGTAGGCAATTGGAAAATGTACTATTTAAAAAAACTAATATTTTTATTAATATTTTCGATATTGATTTCGAGGTAGTATAAAGGAATCGTTCCAGCTGCTAAAAACCTTCAAGGGACAAAATACACAAACGCAGATATTCATACAAATGCAGATAAAAGTGTTTCTGAAGTTGATGCAGAAGAACAGCCACCAGAGGTTCCAATAGCGATAAAAATGAATCAAAGTGTAACATAAAGCATCAGCTGCTCAATTTTTCGCGTTTAGTAAGAAAAGTCTGGCTAAAACCTTCGTCGCGTTTCAAACACGACCTTTTTAATCCTTCTCCATAAAAACCACTTAAAACAATTATTACTTTACTCATTTGGCTCTATTTCTCCTAATTAGCGCCTTAAAGGAAAATAAACATCATAATTTGAAGCTTTGATCTAAGTTTAGTCTATCGCTTAATTGCCTTTCAATTGTTGCATTTGCATTATCGTTTAATAAAGAACTTTCTCTTCTGAACGCTCCCTCGTATCTCTGCCATGCCCACCCTACCCATTGTTCCCATAGAAACGAAGGTAAGTAGCTTCAACCACAATACAACGTGTGAATAACACATTTGTTTACAAACGTCTTCCTAAGCGCCTTTTTCTACAGCTTTTAGCTTAGTTCGCTCCATTAATCATGTGTTAAGTTGTTTAGTCGATAGTTGCTCAAAAGTGCACTGATTGAAGGTAAGTCCGATAACAAAATATTGCGGTTTTCTGGGCAATTTAATCGATTGCATGGAAAACTTTGAGTTGCGTTTACCAGGAAAATGGCTCAAAGCGCTGTTAAAAAAGCGCAACTAATATTCGCGAAATTGCAGATATTCACCATGATCTCCAGTGAAATGCCCATGGTGAAACCACGACGAAAATACGAAGAAGTGCCGGTGCACAAGCCGGAACGCGACAAACAAACCCAGCCAGTCAAACTGAAGAAAACCTATTCGGCCAACTTTAGCCCTAAAACCTGTTGCCATCCTGACCATGCTTCCAGCAAAAAAATCAGCGAAGTTATCATAGAAATCCCGGAAAAAGACCCATCGAGTCGACCAAGCAAAAGGAACCTAAGCAGAGAAATCGAAAGACTGACGCAAGACAATGAACAAATCGCTGGCAAGTTTGCCGAGCTGGAGGATCTATCAGTGAAAAAGATCTTGAAGCTGAAGGAAAAAGTGGGCAACTTGCAGAACATCAATTCCGACCTGCTGAAGGAAAATGAGTCGCTCAGACACCATTACCAAGAGCTGCAGAAGGCCTACGAAGAGGCTTATAACCAACTGGAGCTCAGCAAAGTGTGCAAACGCTGCCAACAGTTGGAGGCGCAGCTGGAAGCTGCCATCCAGGAAAATCAGGCTTTGAGCAAACGCAATGTGGATGTCAGTCAAGACCTTGAAATGCTCAAGACTGTAGTGTTCAGGTAGGGATCAGTAAAGTTTCTAGCAAACAATGGAGAAGGCGAATTTTCAGGCTAAACGCCCAGTTGGAGCGCTATCAGGAAAAGCTGCGAAAGCACAACATCAGCATTGAAAAGTACTCACAGCTTCACCCACAAAAGTCTTCCACGAATCAGTACAGAGAGACGGAAATCATCAACATCCTATCTGAGGACCACCAGAATCATCGACACACGCCGGTTTCATGGGGGCCAGTAAACAGTCACACTTTAGGGCCTTTATTGGGTAAATATCGGGAACACAGCGTTCAAATGTGCCTTCATTATAATTTCCAGACGCTTATCAAGACACAATAAACGAAAAAGACGAAATCATCCAAAACTACGAGCTGAATTTGGCCTCATTCACCGGCAAAATGAAAGAGGTTATTGAGGAAAATGAGAATCTCTACAAAAAACTCACTGAGGATGAGCGATGCGGCTCGAAGCTGGGGAAGAGGTTGGAGCAAGTCAGCGCCGAACTGAAAGCTACCAAAGACCAAAATGATGCTCTAATAAAAAAATGCGCCATCAAGCAAGATAAGATTGAGGAGATTTTGAAGGTGTATGAAACCAAGGGCAAGTAGTTGGGCTTCGAGATTGGGTAAATTTGATCAAGCTGGATGAATTGCAGTTGATCAGATGAAGCGGGACTATCAGTTGGTGCATGATGAGTACATCAAGCTGCGCACTGAAAATGCCTCTTTAAAGGAGAAAATAACTTCCCTAGCTAATGTTCAGGAAGACTTCCAGAACGAGAGGCAAAAATATATTCCGATAGCTGTGCACACAGCCAGCGTTAATGAGTGCAAAAAGTAAGTGCGGATTTCGGCGTGTTTTGTGAATTTTGGGTAGAACAATTGGGATTTCAGGTGGTACGAGGAATTGAAGCATCAATACGAAGTGGAACGGAGCAAACTCCAGGAAAATATTGAATCCCAAGCCAGGTGGATGGACGAAATGAAGAAAGTGAAAGAAGCAGCCGAAGACAGGGTAGTGAAGTTGGAAAAGGAACTAAAGTAAGGTTCTTAGTAGGTATATTTGAATATAATGGTATAATTTGGATTTTCTGGTTACTATACTTGGTATATTGACGTGGTCAATCTTTTTCAGCAAATAGCTTGTTTGATTATTTTGTCTATACAAGTTTGCTTTTTGCGTGAAAACTTTCAATATTTTACATGTTATACCTCTTTTTATAAATGCGTTATTTAGTGCTCTCTCCAGTTGTAGGAAAACAAAATTTCTAGCTCAAATCGTTTTTATGATTAAGCAAACAGGCCGTGGAATGTATGAAAATTTGGTCTAATCTCGTACCTAAATGTATGATGTTCAAAATTGTCGTTTTGTGAGAAAACTACCGCTTTTCATCATAAAAGTTTGAAAGAAAAATTTCATTCTCTATGTAGTCATAGAAAACCAAATTTTGTTGCTTAATTACTTCCTAAGGTATGAGCAAAAAAGTTACGTGATGCGGAAAAAGTCTGGCTAAAAGAGAAATTTGCTTTTAAAAAATGGGAAATTATTCAATCGATCAAAGCAATTCAATCATCAAGAGAGTCAACGGTAGTTTGATCTTAAACAAACATTTCTCGCAGCTTTCAGCATATTTCACATGCGTAATTTCTTCATAAAGTCTTGGTAAAATCTTCATTTTCTTCATCCTTTTTATAGTATTTTCTAGTGGATGTAGAAAGTTTAAAGAGCAAAAAAACTTTCCTGGTTATGTTTTGAGCAATAGATTGTTTTGTCTGAAGCTCCAGCTACTTTCTTCTAGTCGCACGAAATCAAAACTTGAAGAACAATTTGTCATTCTTTTTTATAGATGCGACCTTACTAGGATTTGACTTCAAGAAACACAAGTAAAAATCAGATTTCATGTGTTGCACCTACATTTAAACTATTTTGCAATTTTGCATATCGCTTTTACATCCTGACATTTTGGTTTATTAATCAGATTCATGATTCCAATTTTTATCAATTTATGTTCTTTTGGTTCATTCTTTATATTTTTTACAAATCCTACGCCCGTTTGCTTTATTCTTATGACTTTCCGCGCTTCTTGAGCGTCTTCTTCCTGTGCCGATTTCGTTATCGTTTCTATTTCTAATTTTCTATCAGTGCAGGTTTGCAATGTGGTAATTATGTATTATCTTTCCCCTTTTTCCCTTATTACTCAAGCTCATTATTATTTCGCAAAACATCCCTTAGGCTATGAATAAAAATAAAGCAAATGGAAGTAAATCGCCCTGTATTTTGCTTGTATGTGTTTATAGAAAATCTGAGTCCAAACAGCTGGATCTGGAACATGTGCTGAATGAAGTCCAGCTATCACGTAGCGCCTGCAGAAAACAGCTGCATAAAGCGATGGGTTTTGCCAAAGATATGGTAGCTGAGCAAGAGACGCTGCTTCGAGCACTGAATCAGCGGCAGCTGGAAAACCGTGCAGTGAAAAACATTGGCTCTGAAATGGCGTGTCGAATGGATTCGTTGAAATCTCAGTTAAAGGTTTGGAGTGGAAACAGTTAAGAACTTGATGAATGAAATTGAAGTTGCAGGACGTGCAAAAGTCCGCCTGGGAAGAATTCACTACGGTAGAGCAGCGCATCCAAAAGCAGGCAGAGCTGATCGAGACAATGAAAGATGAGCATCGGACAGAAATCGACAATTTACAGCAAATAATTGACGAACAGCAGCAGAAACTGGCAAAACAAAACAAACATTTGCCTACTAGTCATTTCCAGTTGTTCAAAGAAAAATACAAATGATAATTACAGTAGATGAAGTTTAATTAACAATTGCTATTTAGGACATAGTAATGACGTTATCATTTTTATGACGTCGTTTTTTTATGTCCATGGAACTAGAAAAAGCGCCTTAATGACATGGCAAGTTTTACTGGTTTATGGTAATTTTGCTATATTTTTCAATTAATAGATCATGTTCATTTAAAATTGTAAATGCCCACACCTTCAAACAAACCATTAAAGTTGTTTATTTGCAAACCAATTGACCAAGTTGTTTTACATTATCGTGACATCAGACTTACGAAAGCACTAAGTTTATTTTTATATATAGGGTTTACTAGAAAAAAATCGTTTTCGACTGCACCGATTTGATGGTTGTTGAGGGCGAGATAAGCCCTTAAATATTACAAATTTGGCCAAAAAAAAATTAGCAGAGAGTGGTTTCGATCCACGGACCTCTGAGTGTCATTAACAAACTTAAATTTAATAATGTTTCGGGAACCGCCAGGGGTTTGTTAATGAAATTTTGCAGAATTTGAGTGCAAACAACCAGGCATGTTATGTAATTTTGCTCTTTGTTGTACCAGTGGGGTGGTCAGAGACGCGTATATTAATATTAAGTAAAAAATTTTACGACACACATATTTTTCGAAAATAAAATTGTTTTTAAGCTTCCATTCAATTTGGAAGAGAAAAGACCTCTTAATTTTTTTTAAGAAAATAAACTTGATTCGGTTTACCGTTCAGTCGGGTTTTTTTTAATAACTGAGAAGATCGGAAGCTAAAGAGACAGGAAAAATCCTGTGTTATTTCAGTTAAAAACTCCTCCACCGTGAGACAAACAAACACCTTCTATACAATATACTTTCAGATTTTAAGTACTATTTGGCAACTTTGCCTTGTTTTTAGCCAAATAATCATCCTACAATATCAATAATTAAAAAAGTTAATAATTCAAATAAAACAAAAATTATTAGCAGAGCGTGGTTTCGATCCACGGACCTCTGGGTTATGGGCCCAGCACGCTTCCACTGCGCCACTCTGCTTTTGAAACTCTCCTCGCACCGCAGTTACATAACAAAAACCTTCAAGACAACTATGAAAATTTATAAAGAAAAATTAAAAACTATAAAAAAATTTTGTTGTCTGTTTTGCTCACACCTAAAGTTAAAAATTTGTTTTTCTGTCAGACAACTTCTTGACTGCGAACTTTCAAAAGCAGAGTGGCGCAGTGGAAGCGTGCTGGGCCCATAACCCAGAGGTCCGTGGATCGAAACCACGCTCTGCTAATAATTTTTGTTTTATTTGAATTATTAACTTTTTTAATTATTGATATTGTAGGATGATTATTTGGTTAAAAGCAAGGCAAAGTTGCCAAATAGTACTTAAAATTTAAAAGTATATTGTATAGAAGGTGTTTGTTCGTCTCACGGTGGAGGAGTTTTTAACGGAAATAACACAGGATTTTTCCTTTCTCTTTAGCTTCCGATCTTCTCAGTTTTTTAAAAACCCGACTGAACGATAAACAGAAGCAAGTTTATTTTCTTACTCCAAAACAAGGCGTGGTCCTAAAAAAATTAAGAGGCCTTTTCTCTTCCAAATTGAATGGAAGCTTAAAAACAATTTTATTTTCGAAGAATATATGTGGCGCTTAATTTTTTACTTAATATTAATATACGCGTCTCTGCCCACGCCACTGGTACAACAAAGAGCAAAATTACAGAACATGCCTGGTTGTTTGCACTCAAATTCTGCAAAATGTCATTAACAAACCCCTGGCGGTTTCCGAAACATTATTAAATTTAAGTTTGTTAATGACAACATTTCAACACCCAGTAGAACGAAAATTAAGGATTTTAGAACAAAATTATATTGAAGAAATTAACTCAAAATTTCCCCAAAAGGGCCAAAGGCACAGCATTTTTTTAAGTCCTCGATTCCCAGAGGTTTTTGCGTTTTTGCATTTTACTTTTTACACCCTTGTTTTCATAACCACCCTCGAGGGCAAAATCCGCAAGCAGAGTGGCGCAGTGGAAGCGTGCTGGGCCCATAACCCAGAGGTCCGTGGATCGAAACCACGCTCTGCTATTAATTTTTGGCCAAATTTGTAATATTTAAGGGTTTTGCTCGCCCTCAACAACCATCAAATCGGTGCACTCGGAACCATTTTTTTTCTGGTACACCCTGTATGCAGAAAAAAAGTACTTTCGTAAGTCCGATGTCACGATAGTGTAAAACAACCTGGTCAATTGGTTTAAAAATAAAAACTTTAATGATTTGTTTGAACATGATCTGATTAATTAAAAAAATAGCAAAATTACCATAAACCAGGAAAAGTTACCATGTCGTTAAGGAGCTTTTTCCAGTTCCATGGACATAAATAAAGGCGACGTGAAAAAAATAACACGTCATCACTATGTCCGGAACACCAATTGTTAATTATACTTCATCTATTTTAATTATAATTTGTATTTTTCTTTCAACAACTGGAAATGGCTAGTAGGCAAACGTTTGTCTTGTCTCGCCAGTTTCTGCTGCTGTTCCTCAATTATTTGCTGTAAATTGTCGATTTCTGTTCGTTGTTCATCTTTCATTGTCTCGATCAGCTCTGCGTAGTTAATTCTTCCCAGGCGGACTTTTGCACGTCTTGCAACTTCACTTTAATTCATCAAGTTCTTACCTGTTTCCACCCCAAACCTTTAACTGAGAGTTCAACGAATTTATTCGACACGCCATTTCAGAGCCAATCTTTTTACTGCACGGTCTTTGATTCAGTGCTCGAAGCAGTGTCTCCTGCTCAGCTACCAGATCTTTGGCAAAACCCATCGCTTTATGTAGCTGTTTTCTGCAGGCGCTATGCGCTAGCTGGACTTTTTTCGCAACTTTTTTCAGTCGCGTTTCTTGGACAAAAATGCTGCAACATACGGTTTTCAACTTCTTTTCCATCTAATTTTTCCATATGAAAACCGACCATGCTAATTTATATTTTATCTTTGATACACCTCCCGTCATTCCGATGCTACACGGGCAAAAATCAATAATTTAAATATTTCGTAACAAGAAATGATAAAATTTTATATATAGTCCAAGTTCAAAGAGTTATAGTCCAATTTTGAAAGCTGCAACTTTACAGATCAATAGAGAATTGAAAAGTGATATAATTTTTGCTATTAAACTTAGCTTGAAAAATGCTGGTGTAGGAAATACAGGGTGGTAAAATTTGGCAAAAAAATAAATTAATTGTGTCCAAATGGTGGAATATATTTAATTCAAATTTTCTGGCTTTAATTATCATTAGAGAAGCTTGATTTCCCGTAAAAAAGTTGTTTGAGTGGCGTCCGTTCTGATCTTCTATAACGAAAATTAGTTTTGGTTTTTTCAGTCAAATTGAAAGAAAACGCTTCTCGATGAACTGTTTTCGAACTGGAAACCTTTTGAATGTCACATAAAGAGTTTTTCAGTCCTGATGTGGTTGATTAAAATTTCTTGTTATTTATTTATTATTTATCAATTTGTGATAAGTGAAGATTTATTGAAAAGCCGATCAAAACATAATAAATATCAATATGTTATACATCGTTGAAATCATAATAAAAGGACTTTCAGAATTTGCGAACAAAAAAAAGAACGTATTTAAAAAAGTAAGGTTGATTACGGTTTCTTGAAATCGAAACGTCGAGGCAAAAAACAAATAAGGTGGTATTAATGCTGACTTATTGGTTTTAAAGTTGTCATGAAAAAGTGTAGTGGGTTTTGATCCAGCAATGTTATTAACGCCATAAAAAATAATATTGAGATTCGAAAATTTCAGTGTATTCCAAATAAGTCAGCAACAAAAATTCGTATTAAAGATCTGAATGCAATGTTATATTGGTCTTTCAATTGCCCAACTTTTTTTCCGGTTTAAACAACTTTTAAGGTTTCCGATATCCCCATACTGTTGTGCACAGGCTGAAAGGAGTTTTCTTTCTGCACTGCACTTTTAGTTACTGCTTGTTTCCTCTGCCTATAATTATAGAAACTTCCATTAGATTCCAATACAAGCGAACAATTTAAAATTAATTCGTTAATAGTTTTAAATAAATCCAGCCGACAATCTTTAGTAGCCGCTCACCCAGTAGGGTGTTGTTTTCATAAAAAAGTTTTTTTTTCCAAAACACTCCAATTCTAGTAGCTTTTATGTAGATCCTGTTACAAATCTCAGATAGCAATTCATCTCTTTCAAGTACTTATTGCCATAAATAAAAATGTCGTCAATCGATCCAATCAATCACTTATTGTCGGCTGGCCGGCCGTCTATCGTCTAGGTACGACTATATCCGGGGTTATAAACCGATTGGCAACATTGCAATATTCAGTGACAGTTCGATGTTCGGTAACATGCGAGTGCGTTACTGCAGCCCTAGTTACGCGTATTTTATCAACATGAACAATTTATCCGGCTTAAGTATAATCAAGTGCGCGTGTATTTCAAAGTGTATTAACAAAATTAGCCTTAAATGCCAATAATCCAGTCGCTTTTGCGTGTCCAAACTGGCTTACTGCAGTGTTGAAATCCTTTATAAAGTTATTGATTTTACTCTTAACCTAGAATAGTCAAGTGAATCATCCCCCTCGTCCTAGTAGGCTTGAATTTAGTGTTTTACATCTGGGACTAACCAGGATCAAGTGTATTTAACAAAGTTGTATCATGACGTTATTAGTGCATGTCTAAACAGTGATTTCGGATGATTTTCTGGTGAAATTAGTGATTTTTCCGGCTTTATGACTACTACACACTTTAAACTAAGCAATAGCTGGACTAGTTTAGTGTTTGGATTTAATTTTGAGAGCTGTTTGGTGAGTGTTTAATGGTTTTCTTTATTGTTGTCAAGGGAAACGACTGCGGATGCATAATAAATTGAAAAACGTAGGCAATTTAAAAAACGCTTTTGTGTTTACATTGATCCAAATCCCGTTATAGAAACAAATACTATCATTTAACAAAATGTCAAAGACGGCATGATTACTGTGGCTTACTGCCAAATTTGAC